GGGATTTATAGGTTCTATAGGGAACTCTATAGGTTCAATAGGGGACTCTATAGGTTCTATATAGGGAACTCTACAGGTCCCAAACTGAACTCTATGGGGCATATTGGATCCTATAAGATTTCTATATATTCCTAAAGGAATATATAGGAATCCTATTAGACATTTTCGTAACGGATGAGCATGTTCATCACAAGTTGATGATGAGGTGTTCCGTCGAACGACCTCACGCTTTCTCCGTCCAGTTTTAAGTGGATTAGCTCGTCTTTTTTCAGTCGAAGCCGTGTCATGACACGGCTGGCATGACATGAAACATGACATGAAACTGCTGTTTGATATCAATGGCTGCGGCGCAAATTAAATATAACGGTATTTTTTTTCATCTTGGTGTCCCCTTAGTGACGATGGAACCAAACGGAGGTCGACACAATTGACGGGCATCTTGTTATTCGAGGTGTAAAACAGTTGTGAACGCACACAATAAACAATAAAATTCGGGATGCATGGATTTCGATGCAAACTATCGGCCGTCCTTGGTGGGAGCAATATCGTTGCGGGATGCGAAACATGTTGGCGTCGGGTACGAAACGCGTCTGCGTCGTTCTCAGGTTTTCCCAGGGGGATGCGTTGCTCGGCGCTTCGCCGTGCGGGCGAAGTGTCCGATTTGCGGCGCCGTCGATGAAATGGCCGATCGTTGTGCCTCTCAGGCCGGTCGCATGAGGTGCGAGAAAACAAGGATTTTGCGGGTTTCCTCTTGGGGCAAAACCATATCGTTGCACCTGTTATGTGCACTGGCGAAATTGCACACGATGAGCTGGTCCGTCTCCCAGCCGTTCCATGATGTAGTCATGACCTTAGCGCGACAATGCTCGAAGGTCAAATTTGCGTAGAGGCATGTTTTGCATCTGCAATATCATTTTAACGCCGTAGGGCGCTGAATGGCATCTGGCTGGCATGGGTTCGTCGGCATGAGATCCGGGAAGTAGAAATGCCGGTCGTCGTATTGGCAGTCGAAGTCATCAAGACATTTTAACGCGTTGACTTCCGGGGATTTAAATGCCGGGCCTTTAAATGCAAGTTCAACCGGTAAATTGCAATTACCTGAAGGAAGTCGGGCTCCGAACGGCTCGGTGACGTCATCACTTCGATTCGTGAATGGACGGGATCGATGAAGCGGATGTGGCGCACAGGACGGTCCGGTTTCAGCAATTCATGAGGAGAAAGTGAGAAGATTTCGGCTGACCCGCCTCTGCTAGGAATCGAGGGGATTTAAATGCAGGAAGCGGTCGAGGCGGTCGGCGGAGGATCTTCCGGGGAATCTGGAGGGCTGGGACCGTCCCGCTAGGACAGATTACAGGGAAGGCAGTCGATGGGGAGGTCTTATTTGGGGGTTCGGGGGATTCCCTGTGCGTTCGGGGAATGGGGTCCGTTGCACATGATGCCGACCTTTTGGGTTTATTTGCTTCTGAAATGTCAATAGTCGGGGTATAAAATCTCCGGCCTGCGTGGACTTTTTCAGTCAGACGTGCTCAGTGCCGAGATGGATCCTGCCAAGATCGCCGCTTTGCTTTTGCTTTGTGCCCGTGTTCAGGTCAGTTCACCGCATTCATTTGTGAGAGAATTCCACTGGGATTATTTTCATGTGTTTCGTCGTATTTCCATATTTCGTGTTTTTGGATAGGGTGGACAGGAGGCCCGAGTCGACGACCGACAAGCACTTCAGTCTTCGATCGCTTCTCAAGGTAATTGGTATTAAGCTCGGCGGTTCCCTTGTACTTGCACTTGTACTTGCATCAAAGAATTCTGAATTGCAGATTTTCGATCGCCTCCCCCATGCAGCGCGACCCGGGCCCTCTCGACGGGGCAGGGCTCCCCGCTGCTCAGTCCCAACTTTCCTGGCTTTTCCCCGCCTGGATTCTCTTGCTCCTGGGAATTCAGAGTGAGTTTTGCGTTCTTGTTTGAAGGGGGGTTGTTTCGTACTACTTCTGGCTTGCTGGGAAGAAATACGATTACTGCTACTCATTTATGCTTCTCAAGTCCTCTCGGATTGGGAAGAGGCGTTCATGGTCTGATGAGCGCTGATATGCCATTTCGGAATTCCTTGGGAGGAGAGAAATTGTACCTTTTTTTTTTACTGCGGAATGCAAGTTGAAGAATTCTTCAATTACTGCTCTTCAGTGGGAAAAAATGGCTAATTCTTGTTCTCATACCCATTTTTGCTTATTCGCTATTTTTTCGTGACGTCGTCGAGATCCTCTTGAGATCGCATGGTTTGCTCCACGAAGCTTAGTGATCAGTTTTACATTACATTCACACCCGTTCGATTGCCTTTCAAATGCCTTCCAAATCCTTTCCAAATGCCTTTCATATGCATTTCAAATAGTTTTCGAACAGAGGAAAAGCCCATGTGGAATTCTTGGAAGGAAATTCGTTGGTGCTCCACCTCAACGATCGATCAACATTTCACCATTCCCGTTCGGCAATGTCATGCCTATACAAGTATTTCAGAATTTTCGGAATTATTTAATCGGGGATTTCACAGAGAGGCAAATACGACAATGAGGAAACAGGTGTTTTTTTATGCATTTGCGATTTCGGTCTGAATCGCAGAGCATAATAAATGCAATTAAACCAATTGAAAATTTTATGAAAACCTTGGGTGTGCAACACGCGCAAATTAACACGAAATCAACTTTTCCACCACGACGAAGTTGATGGGAATGAAATAAATTGAACCAACATTACAAGCAAAACAGAAAATAAGAGTTTAACTAGCTTCAACTCATCATCGCATCGTTGACCATGTGATATTTTTTTTGCCTAGTGCCCGGTGGACATGACCCTCCAGTGCTCCACCTTCCAACTTCCTTCTTCTAACTTCTGCTGGCAATCCGCCCTCACCTACAACAGGAAGAGGTATGGTGGCCGGAGCTCACAAAATTGTCATCGCGTCTTCCTCGGGTGACACGTCCAATCTCTCGCAGGGTGTGCGGATCCTCGCCGGAGCTTCGAAGCCCGGTGAACGTGGGGAAGGACCTTAAGGTGGAATTTTTCAGCATTCGTTCGGTCGGCTTCAACTGCACTGTCAACTGCGGTAAAGTCAACGCTGTCGCTTCCGGATCTAAGCCTAATCGATTGACAACTAAACCTTGAGATCCATCGGACCTGGGTATCGCCTCATATTGTAGTGTTTATATTTGCATTAACATGCGATGGCATAGTGTCGACTGGTTTTTTAAATCTAAACATCCCTCAAAAATCATTGATGACATGCAAGCAGAAAATTTCAGGGTTAAACATTTCCCTATTGCAAATAGGTTCACGTATCATTCAACAGGCTGAGTCACACAATGGCTGGAACATTTTGAAATGTCGCAAACCCAGAGGGGGCAGCGTGAATGACGGCATATCAGCAATGAGGTTTAAATTTGCACGGCCTAAGAAATCCATAGCTATGACTCACGTTTCATTCTTAGACCTTCCAGGAATTTCAGGTCAATCTCTAATCTGATTCTTGGATGACATTTTCAGCTTCCCATTCCTTATCATTCGGAAGTCTTCTTCGAATCTCACGATTCTAATTATGCAGTACGCAAAGATAAATTGGAAATGCAAATTTTGCCCTCCTTCACGCATTCGAAGAAAGATCTTGTACGAAAGCGTGCTGTACCTTGCTCAATAACCAATTAAATGGCTCCAAGGGGATATGTCCATAGCTATCTTCGGAAGTAAACGGCTCTATTTCATTACCTGACCCATGCTGAGGAGCGTATTTTAGAGGTTCAACGGCCTCACAAGGACCAGTCGAAAAACGTTATCCTAGGAGATTAAGACAGACATTTTAATTGTCATACTTATCTGCAACATCGTTGTGATTCTCCACTTCGGAAAATCACCGTAAATTAGAGGCAAGTGAGTGAGGCCCAATTAAGAATCTGTTCAGATGGAAATGATGAAGTATATTAACTAAAGTCAATTCTTCCATAGTACATGTACTATAGTACATTTCTGATAATATTCATTTCCACCTTTCTCTTCGCTCTCAATTCTGCATCTTCCATTCCTGCAAATACGAGGCTGCTGGTTGTAACGAATATATCGTCAATATCGAGCAATGAAGGAAATGTCAAGTTCTTTATTTCATATATTCCGTTTTCAGGTACGGTTCCTGCACCTCCACCTCCACCTCCATGCCGTGAGTTCAGAAATCCGAAACAATTAATTAGGACTTCACACTGCTCAATCGTTTCGATAATATTAATTCTCGATTCTGTTTTTCAGGTTGCGGAGTCTCTCAAATCAGCAATGGAGCCTTGGATGCTGCAAAAAACCAGACTCAACCCGGCGCGGGCCAAGTCATTGGAGGATCTGGCGTTCTGAGTCAGAGGAAATATCCCTGGATAGCATGGATCGGGACGTCTGCCAGTCGGGTGTCCAAGTGCGGGGGATCTCTCATCAACGACCGGTATGTCCTCACATCGGCCAGCTGCATCGACCCTAGGTCAGTTTCGTTCTGCTATGCTCGGAAATTCCTGCCTCTAATGGTATAGACTCATTGAAAAAAGTATTATTATTTCTTCCCATTAGCTACCAAACTTACATCGTGACTCTAGGAGACTTCAACAGGTCGACATGGTCCGACAGTCACTCCATTCAGATTCCAGCCTCAGCTATCATTCATCCTCAGTTTAATTCGAGTAACCGGAACAACGACATCGCACTTCTGAAGCTCAAGATCCCGGTGGACTTCAACGCCTTCCCACACATCCGTCCCGTATGTCTCTCTTCCAGTGCCATCCCCGCGCCGAGTCAAACTGTCACTGTCGTCGGGTGGAGTGGTACCGGTGTCCCCCGTGAGTCGATTATCGAATTGCTTATCAACCTCCTTGGACAGCAGGAACCTTGGACTCGAATCATTTCATAGATGTACTTCCCGAGAACGTGCTGAAGGAGGCCACGATGAAGGTGATCAGTCAGGAAACCTGCAAGGCCTCTCACCCGGTCCACACCACAAACAGCACCATCTGTGTTCAGCCTGTTGACAAGAACTCATGCAGTGTAAGCAAAAAGGAAGATGTGAGAATTTAATGTAATTCCCGAGGTACCAATACGCATTTTTCCTTCAGGGTGACTTCGGAGGACCGGTGTTGTACCAGACTCCATCCGGATACTACCAGGAAGTCGGCATCAACTCGTACAAGAATGGGGAGTGTCTCCCGAACTCGGGAATCGTTGCCACCAAGACAGCCAGTGAGTGTCAGCAAAGGGCAAATCAATTCCCATTTGTTCTTGGCAGTGGCTCATTCTGCCGAATCCGTTTCCATTGCAGATTACGTGGACAACTTCATCAAGAGCAACACCCAGGATGCCCAATGGTGCCCAGCGCCTTGAGACATCCTTCCAGGCTGCCGAGAGTGTCTGCATGCCCTCCCGACCTGAAGCTCGAATTTCCGAATGTCCTGTGCATCCCTTCGTGTCTTCTCTTCTCTGGGAGGTGGCAATGAAACGAATCCCTTTTGTGATTTTATTATTATTGCAATGAAGTCCTTCTGGAACTGCCACTTGTTGAGTTCGTTTCCTACTCTTGCGCCCATTTCCTTTCCACTTGACCACAATATCGATCTATCGGTGGAAAATTGATATCACATACGAGAAACTTTCGTAAATTTTACAGTGTCCAAGTAGTATGTTTATTTGAAGCAATGTGAAAACCAATTTTTAACTCTCCCCCCCCACGCCCCCTTCTCTACGGGACTCACTAACGTTAGGCCTAGGCCTATCCAACCGACTGCCTTCAGGTCACGCCAAGCCTCATCTTTTTTCGTTCAAAATAATCTTAATTCTCGACTTATGGGGCCAATTGGGTCCCTAAGCGTGAAACCATGGTCTTCGAGACATCTCCTTGAGGACGTGTAACGTTAGGCCAATCGCAGGCCTATTCATACTTTCACGAACCAATTCAGAGAGGACGTGGTGCGTTAGGCCGACCTGGATTTCCTCGAACCACCTTGAGTAGGTCTAAGTAGGGAATGCCTCTGGCATAACCGGCACGATATCCGGCAACACTGGGGGACGGTACCGAAGCAAACTCTTTAAGCCTATTTGAAAGACAGCCAATTTCACTTCTTATGGCTAACAAGAGGACTTTTCGTGATCTACGAGTCAATATCCTATATATTAAGAACGCTCTGAAGCTGCCTGCATATGAATCATTCGATGCAGCCCATGTACAACGCCTTCTGCGTGCCTCGGGTCTCCCTCTCTCGGGCGAGCACTTTCTTCCCGGCTGTTGCGACTGGCGGGATCAATTCTCGAGTAATAGCCCGAGTAGGGGGGGAGGGGGAAGAGCTCGGATGGCATAAGAGGAGTTAAGCACGAATGGAGAGGCTGTGAATCGAACACTTGGCCTCCAGATTACCGATCGAGCGTGTTACCACCACACCACGGAACCCGAATTTTGCACCGGTGATTTCCTTGTCATCCCTAACACTGCAACTGGAGAGAATTCTACGCATTCCACGCCGGGACGTGTAAAATGTCCCCGCGTATTTCTTGGAGTCCCTTTTCATCCCTGCAGGAGGGATGATATATAAAATATTTATTGGTATCCCTTTATCAATCGGAACCCCGTCCTTCCCGCACTAACGCCGCCAGTGGCGAAACGTTACAAAGAAACCTCACATACCGACATACATAGACCGAAGAAGTATAGAAAACGGATGGGACCCTGACGAGCCGAAATGTGCATATCGCATCATACATGCCCGAGCTTCGAAGTAGCAACGAGTGGAGTAGCTGTCGCGCTTGTGTCCATGCGATGGCTGAGGTGTACGACCCTTGGTACTAGGGTCCAATTGGTCCATGTACTTCCCTGGAACGAAGTCCGCAAGGATATGGTGGGCCGTATACGGCCAGGTGAAACTCGATTGGCGTGGTCGTTCATTAAAAGAAAGAGCCTCCGATTTCTCCGAGGCCGAGAGAGCCTCCGAGAGAGCAGCCAGAGCTGGGGGTGTGTCAGTGGATCCCGTCTTCCGGTGTTGGCGCTTGTTTCGTCGTGGTGCTTGGTCTGCCGAGTCTTGCTGGTACACACATTTTCCCTTGCTGGTTTTCCCAAGTCTGGCTGGTCCGTTCATTCAGTGTTTTTTCATGGCCTAGCGCCTGCCAAAGATTTGCTCGTTGGTTACATTCCGGCCTATGGCCTGAGCCTACGGTTCATTGTCTTTCACTTATTTATCTATTTATTTATTTATTTTATTTATTTTCATATATTTTATTAGTTTTTCTAATGTCAAGCCAATAGAGTAATTATGGAGCTCCCCACTGGCCTTTCATTTTAACCCACAGTGCTAGGCAAAGTGCCATCCTGGCCCTAGCACTACACCAGGCCAACTATCGGTGGCCTATCCTCCTCCACGAGTTCAGACTCCTTACCGCCGAATGTTAGCACGTTCCAAGTCCCAATGTCCAGAGTCCGTTGCCAAGGTCGTCTGTCGTTCGAGTCGAGAATACGCTTTGGCCTGTGGCAAGCCGACCGATAGACGCTGCACGGCGGAGACCGACGCACCCAGGGGAATCGGATTGCCTGGCCCCAGCAGCCAACTCATCAATAGTCTCCCACCCAAGGGAGCAGAGAGACTATCGCAGTTCTGATCGTCTTGGACGACGACCGAGCCAGTACGGAATACCCGAGCCGAACTCATCAAGCTGGTTTTGGTTCGTCTCGGTCCCCCTCGACGGAAGCTCCAGTAACACGCACAGCAAATAATCAAGGTGAGATCCCACACCCTTAAATGCGTGCATGCTTTGTCACCGGACAGCCACCCTAGGTGTGAACATGTTCACCGTGGTGTCCAGCACCCTTGATGGTTGCATGGCCACCCTCGCGTGCAAACGCCGCACCCTCTTTTCAAGATAGCATCAATTTTTCGATAGGCGACGTACGCCCTTTGGCATCGCCTCGGGCGAAATAATTATTCCCCTCCAACCACTCTTCAGGGTTTCCATACGCACCCTTTGGAGATTCACTTCCATCTTTCATGAGTGACGCAATCTATCCCCCTATGAAGAACACGTGAGATACAGATTCAATCGATGATAAAACGTTGACCCACGAATGCAACTTGTGCTGGATGAGAATCCTATCGTGACTTTTTAAAAATAAGTCATGATATTATTTATAAATAATTAAAATATTTACAAATAAGTCATGATAAGTCAAAATTTTGAAATGCGTTTGAAAATGAGGTTCCGCTTCTTTCGTCGTGGGTTTGTTTTAAAGCCTGAAGCCCTATTCTTCCTTCCTTAGGGCCAGTGTCGCCGGATGTCTCCCTGGGCTGACTTTCATCTTTAGACAATGATAACGCGGGGATTCCAATGCATTACGCTTTGCTGTAAGAAGGGAAACAATGAGGTGCCCTATGTAAGAAACGCCAGAGGCGTGGTTTAACTTCGTTACGGACGACCCGCCGAGTTGGCGACTGAGGTGCCATCTTACATCGGTAATGGTAACCTCTCCATGAATATCCAGCTGCTTCGCCTAATGAAAGCGAAAGGACAGTAGGATTACGTCTTCATCGGATTACTGAGTAGGCGAACGATGCATGAGCCTTGGTTATACCAAGCCTCTGGATTAGATGCAAGACGAGATTAGGAAGCAAAATTTCATCTTCTGTGACCCCCCCCCCCTCCTCCTTTGCAAGATTGGGCTGTAGTGCTTTCATAATGATGATGAAATCACCGTAAAATATAATGTCGCATGTCCGACATGACGGAATGAAAGGGTCGCACGGGGCAGTCGCGGGTGTGTCGGACAAGGAGTCGAATTGGACGATGGAATGGAGAAGCCTCAGAGAGGAAGCGGGACTTTGAGTGGACCCTTGGCGCTAGTGCTGGGGACCGTATGCCGACCGTCGCCCCACACATCCCACTCTGGTTCATATGGCTCAAGGTAGTGTATAGGAGGAGGGATGACACCTCGAGGGTCATCCCTCCGGCAGGAGTAAGCCAAGCGGGGTGAGGATGACTCCAGACAAGAGTGCCGTGCGAGCCTCCCATGGAGGCTCCCAGCGAGGCCGTTAATCGCCGATCGAAGGCGAATTTACCTCGAGAGTAGTCATCAGAAAGCTGAAGATGGGCGGCCAAACTACGACTGACTCACGACTTTTATCTCAGAACCTCGAGAGTAGCCTAGTGTTCTACTGAAGAAATAGCAGCTGGGAAAACTAATTAACTTTAAAAATAATTAATCAATTAACATGTTTTATATTTTACGTAAACCTACAGACCGGGAAAGTTAATATGACCTCTCCTTCATAGGTAATTCGGTTAACCGCGTGGTTATGTGTAGAATATATGCACCTACATTATAATACGATGTAATATGTATAATACATATGTAATATGTCACATGTAATATGTAATTCCGTCATCGAAGGGGAAGCGATCAGCTTCTCGTCATTTCTTGTTTTTCGCCATCCGGCGCCACGTATCGATGTTGGATCTGAAACGTGTCGGTTTTGAAACATGTCGGTGTCGTTTCGAATCTCCCCGGCAGAAAGCCGACACGCCCAGTATATATTTCACATCACATTTCTAATTTATTCAAGCTCCCCTCTCAGATCGATCATTTGCACGGAAACCTTCATTTGGCGCGCAGGTGGGCAGGTCCGCTGCAACGAAGCGACCTTTCCTCCACTCGACCTTGACTCCGCGACTTGAAGGTCGCGTGGAGGCACGTCCGCCTGACTCGGCTTCGTCTATGCGAGATCCAGGAAAGAAGAATTGCAGATGGCCAAGGACACTGGGGCGACGTCGCCAGAGCGACGACCTCTTCGATGGATGAAACGGCTTCAGCGAGGGAGAAAAGCGAGGATGCGACCGAGTCGCCTCGGCTGGGAAAGGAGGAGAATCAAGAGCAGGATGCAGTTGAGTCGGTCGGTGGAGGATCGGGGAATCCGTAGTCGGTCCGTCCGGGACAGATTCCAGGGATGTTACTCCCTGGTTTGAATGTGAAATTCCAAGGGCGTTCGGTCCGTGAACGTGATGCTGACCTTGGAGTTCGTTTGCTTTCGAAATGACGGGATTCGGAGTATAAATTATCCGGCCGGCTTGAATGCTTCAGTTGGTTCAATCGGTTCGTGCTGGGATGGATCCAGCCAAGATTGCGGCTTTGCTACTGCTCTGTGCTTGCGTTCAGGTCCGTTCACGGTCTTCAGTCCGTGGGAAAGATATTACTAATATTTTCATATTTTCATATTTTCGGACAGGGTGGGCAGGAGACTCGAGACGAGGATAAACAATCATTTCAGTCTTCGGGGGCTTCCCAAGGTAATTGAACCGTATTTACCTCGGCGGTTCCCTTGTACTTGTACTTGCATCGAAGGACTCGAAATTGCAGATCTTCGATCGCCGCCCCCATGCGGGACGACCCGGGCCCTCTCGACGGGGCAGGGCTCCCCGCTGCTCAGTCCCAACTATCCAGGCTTTTCCCCGTCCGGAATCGGTTGCTTCTGGGAGTTCAGCGTGAGTTCTGCCTTCTTGTTCAGGGAGCTGTTCCGGACTAGTTCTACTGGGCTAGAAAATATACGAAAAAAATGATAAGGACTTGATTTATGCTTTTCTAGTCCTCTTGGATAGGGAAGCGGCGTTCATAACTGAAAAGCGCTGATACGCCGGTTCGAAAATCTTCGAGGAGGCGATTTTACGCCCTTCTCTTGACTGCTGAACGGAAGTCGAAGAATTCTTCTGTTATCATTCTTCAGTTCATTAAAAAAAAAAGCGAGTTCTCGGTCGCTTACCTATTCCTGTTCATTCGGCCTGTTGTCTCGTCAAAAAATTATTGAGATCTTGAGATCAGCCTAGCGTTGGCCTCACATCCACATCCGTCCGAGTGCATTCAAATGCCTTTCAAATGCCTTTCAAATGCCTTTCAAGGAGTTTTCAAGAAGCAGGAGAAAAGCGGAAATTTTTGAAAGAATAATGTGGTTTCGTTGGAGTTCTACCCGAACGATTGGCATTTCCTCAATCACATCCGGCAACATCATGCTAGTGGAAACATTTCGAACGCTGGGAGAACTTTATGAGCGAAATTTTAAATTCAGTTAATCAGGGATTGCACAGAAAGGCAAATGCGACAAAGACGAAACATGTGGTTTTTCTGATTCAGGTACCTTGAAATTCATGATTTCATGAAATTTATTAATGGCGCTTTAAGTTGTTGCAAATTACCTGGATTGAATTTTGTATTTGAAAAATGAATTTGCACGATTCACGAGATGACAAGCGCATGGTTTTCACATCTAATCGAATTTGAGAGGAATTAAGAATTTGGAGCCAATTCCTCAAAGTCACCGCAAAGAAAAGCAAGCAGCAAAAAAAATGTTCAAAAAGTTTCAAGAATTTCCAGTCGTGCATCGTTGATCATATGATTGATGGTTTTTGTCCTAGTGCCCGGTGGATATGACCCTCCAGTGCTCGACCTTCCAACTCCCTGCCACTTTCTTCTGTTGGATGTCCACCTTCACCTACAACAGGTTGAGGTATGGTGGCCGGAGCTCGCAAAATCGTCATCGCGTCTTCCTTGGATGACAAGGGCTTGTATCTCGCAGGGTGTGTGGGCCCTCGCCGGAGCTTCAGAACCCGGTGAACGTGGGGAAGGACTTGAAGGTTGACTTTTTCAGTCTTTTGTCGGTCGGCTTCAACTGCACTGTCAACTGTGGTAAGGTCAACACTATCGCTTTTGGAACTATGCTTAGACTTTTGAAGGACTTTACACGGAAGGAACGGCTCAAAATTTGCTGTCTTCAACAACGTATTTCCATGAAGCACTTTGTGCGAAGTTTTCTTCCTGGAATGAGCCAAGAGCAAGATCTTTTTTTCGTCGATGTAATGAAGAATGATTGGACGCCTCTTTCTTTTCTTTTTGCAATTGTAGAAAGGATCGCAACAGTTCTTACCGCCCAGGAAAGGGGCAAATTGGCAAGTTTTTCGAACTTGCCAATTTCGGGGAAAAGGACTGGCTCGAAAAGTAATCGTAACAACATGAGTTCATTCGTTGGAAAGAGTTTCGGAATAACTCTAATTTGACACTAGTGTCAGATTTGTATCCAACTTGAAACAGGAAATAGGAGCGGTCGAACGTGAAGAAAATCGTCAAAATGGGACTCATATTATTTCCCGTTAGTTTGTACAAATTCGCAAGTTGAAGCTTAGCTGCGTTTGCCTTATTGTGCATGCTCCAAAAGCTCTTCGTGCTACCATGCCAAACAGTGTTCATAATTTGTGTGCAAATTTAGGCAGTATTTACAATCTTGCAACATTTGCAATTCATTTATCCGATTCGGCATCGTCTCAGCTTTTATTCGTCACGTCTCTGGCTAAACAAATCCACAATACGACTGGATCGTAGTCCCAAGTAATCGGCTCATTTTCGTTGTCTGACGAGCGCTAATTATTGGTGAAGCTTCTGTTCAATTAACAAAGTCGAGGAATCTTCGCACGAGCAGAATTGAGCAACCTCAAACTGGAGGCGATGGGGACCCAAGTTGGATTCTCCCATGGAAATGCTCCAATATGTTAACTACATCCTTCGCTGTTTTTATTACGCCATTCCTTTCGATAATTCTCTTTTCCCTCATCTAAAACTCCGTGGGTCATAAGCATTTTTCATCGCGGCCTGAAGTTGGCGGCATGAAGCAAGCGGAAATTCTTCGCTTCCACGGGAATGTCCCTTTTCCTCTTGCGCCGTAAGAATCGGTTTCCCTCGAGCGAAAAGATGTAAGGATGCCCATTCTACCACCGCAAAAGCGAGCCCCCAATCTCACGATTTTGCCTGAACCTTATATGCGGGAGGAAATTCATGAAATTGAAAATGTTGTTATATACACCTTTTGACTGCAGCGAAAGGACATCTAGCAAGGGAATCGGAAAATATATACCAATCCTGACATATTTACAAAAAATTAGAATATTTTCTAAAAGCACCGGCCATCAGATATTTCAACACCCTGTTTCAGCATTCCACAGCAGCCCGACTCCCTGCAGCGAAATATTTCTCAGAAACGTCCTCAACTAAAAATTTGTACCCTGGGGTGGTTGCCCCACAAAGTGCTATTTTCCAAGTCATCTTTCCTACGTCAACGTGTGCAGTAAACAGACTATCTATTTTTACCTGTCCTTATATTCCCGTCTCACTGGGACAAAAAAAAGTTTCAGAAAACATCTCCATTTTTTTTATCAGGTTCGGTTTCTCTCCCGACGCCAGTGCTTCCATGTCGTGAGTTCAAGAGTTTGGAGTAATTTATTGGGACCCGAGGCTCTTCGGCCGTTAGATCCCGCGAATCCTCGATTTTCTACCAGGTTGCGGAGCCGCCTCTAAGAGCAGAAATAGACCGTTTGATCCTACAAAAAACCAAACGCATCTCGACTCGGATCGAGTCGTTGGAGGATCTGGCGCTCTCGGTCAGCGGAGGTATCCCTGGATAGCATGGATCGGGATGTCGCCCAGTCGGAGGTCGTTCGTATGCGGGGGATCTCTCATTAACGACCGGTATGTCCTCACGGCTGCAAGCTGCATTGACCCGAGGTTCGTTTCGTTCTACTATGCCTGGGTATTCCTGTCTTGAATGGTACAATGCCGCTTCAACAAAAAAAATGTTTCCCCATTAGATTCCAGATTTTCATCGTGACTCTAGGAGATTTCGACAGATCGACTTTGTTTGACACTCATTCCATTCAGATTCAAGCCTCAGCCATCATTCATCCTCAGTATAACTCCAGTAACCGCAATAACGACATCGCACTTCTGAAGCTCCAAACCCCGGTGGATTTCAACGCCTTCCCACACATCCGTCCCGTATGTCTCTCTTCCAATGCCATCCCCACACCTGGACAAACGGTCACTATCGTCGGGTGGAGTAGTATTAGTGTCCCCAGTAAGTCGACTTCGAAATGCTTATCAGCCTCTAGCACCAGGACATTCGGGCTCTAATAATGTTTTAGATGCACCTCCTGAGAACGTGCTGAAAGAGTCTACAATGAAAGTGGTCAGTCAGACGAATTGCAAGGTCTCTTACCCGGTCCAAGCCTCGAACAACACCGTCTGTGTTCAGCCTAATGATAAAATCTCCTGCAGAGTAAGCAAAATGGAAGACGTTAGGGTTGCATGCAACTTCTGAGAGTGCCAATCAATATTTTATATCAGGGTGACTTCGGAGGACCGCTGTCGTACCAGACTCCATCCGGATACTACCAGGAAGTCGGCATCATCTCGTACAAGAATGGGGAGTGTCTTCCGAACTCGGGAATCGTAGCCACCAAGGCAGCCGGTGAGTCTCAGCAAAGAACAAACTAATTCCCATTTGCTCTCATAGTCAATGTGTCACCCGGCGGAATCCGTTTCCATTGCAGATTACGTGGACAACTTCATCAAGAGCAACACCCAGGACGGCCAATGGTGCCCGGCGCCTTGAGACATCCTTCCAGGCTGCCGAGAGTGTCTGCATGCCCTCCCGACCTTCAGCTCGAATGTCTCCACACGCCCCTCTGGATTGTTTCTTTCCTTGGAGACGACACAACTTCCGCGTGCTCAATTCGAATGACTCGCGGGATAATCCTAGTACAACGATTTCTCACCTTTTGCAAAGAAATCCTTCTTGCTCTGTCAATTTCTGAGTTCGTTTCTTACACTTGCGCTCTTTCTCTTATTCCCGTTTCACATGTTATCGATTGCATTCACATCGATGAATTTTCACGAACTGTTGAATTGACTATAGCTGGCTGCCGATGCAGTGAGAAATCCAACGAAGTCCTGTTCCCATCAAATTTCAAGATTGAAGGGCAGGCGACACACGAAGGAAAATTGTAAAATATATCCTGGATAGACGAATCTGTTGAGGAGATTTCCTTCGGATCAGCCAAGAACGAAGAAGCTCTTCGCATCAACAAATGGGAAATTTTCATCAGCCCGTTGCATGCTGTGCGTTCGTATGAAGACCGCCAACATGAATGAAGCACAGCGTTTCCCAACCGTCACCGAAAGTGTTCATTAGATTATAAATTCATCGACCCCAGAGAATTGAGAAGGTGGAACTGCATAGAGGTAAAAGTTTGTTCGTGAACAAACTTCATTACTGTTGTCGGGGTTTTCTTTAAAAGGTTGCTTGAACCCCGTTGCGCCATCAAAACCCCAAACACCATCAAAACTATTAATTAACAGTGTGGTGCTCCGGCCTGGTACGATTCCTGATGAGCTTAGTCCAGAATCTTGGGAATTAGGTTGGACCGTTGAGATCGGTTAAGGATAGGATCTCCGGGGCGAAACGCGAACCTGAGAATATGCGGGGGGGGAAATGTCTCCCATTAATAGAATCGGAACGAGGAAGATTTCGCGACAGCTTAAAAGACTCTTTCATCAACTCATGGCATCCGAGTTATCGACGTTCTCAGAGAGCCCATGAATCGCTATCTATTAAGGATAAGAATAATAAATAATAAATTGATGAATAATTTTTTTTAAATGATAAATAGATAAATGGTAAAAAAAAAATATAAATAAATAAACAATAATGAATAATAAAAAAAGAGTAAATAAAAATGGGAACCGAAGAAATCGACTTTTGTGACCTTCACTCAGCCATACAAATTACCTGCAGTCTTGTTGCTTTTGTTCATGTGACAGTGAGTCGTCGTGACATGGATCGATCATCGATCATCGTGACATGAGATTCAGATGAAATTCTCAACTGTGGAGCGAACAGCACTGGCAGCAGTGTTGCCCGCGACGGAATCCCTGGGATGTCGTGATGTGCGACATCAAGTGCGTGCCATGAGGTGCCGTAAGGTGTGCCATGAGGAATGTCAAGCGATTTCCTCACATTCGATTTTGAGTGGATTTACACAAATAAAATGTATTGATGCTTCATTTTACCGTGAAATCGCTTTCGTGACGGAGGGACGACATCGATTTCAATATCTTAATGCATAATTTTTTTGCTTAATCCGACGCTGCAGGAAAATCGAAATCGGAAACCCTCGGTCATGACATCCCTTCTCGGACTGATGGCATCCCTTCGCAGATTGATGGCATCCCTTCTCGGATTGATGGCATCCCTTCTCGGACTGATGGCATCCCTTCGCAGATTGATGTGATAACGATGGTGAAAAGTCCCAGCCGTTTGCAAACAAATTTCGTTGCGATCCGTATAATCGAGAAAGCGTATTTCGTGCCTGTCAGTGAATGCCATGGGGCGCTCTTATGGCACCCGGCTGGCATGGCTTTGCCTGCATGAGATCCGGGAAGCAAAACTGCAGGTCGCCGAATGGACTGTCATGGGCATTCAGCACATGAAAGCAAGTCGAGGCCTGATGGCAAAATTGCAAGATTTTTTCTTCGATTTTCGGGATGGCATGGAATTTTCCCCTTAAAATTATGAGAATTACATATAATTTAAGCGATCAAGTTTCAATTACCTCCAATTACGCCTGGCGTCGAATGACGTCATCAGCCTGATCGCGTGACGCGATTATTCTCATTATGAATGGAATGGATGAAGCGGATGCAGCAATTCATGAGGAGGAAGCGAAGATGGCAGAGGGAGAATTAAATGCAGGACGCAGTTGAGGATGTCGGTGGGGGAATTTTCTGGGAAATCCGGAAGGATGGGACTGTCCCGCGAGGACAGATTCCGGGGAAGGGGAATGGATGCTCGTGGGATTCCCAGTGCGTCTGGGCACCTTGCGTATCGCGCAGATCTTTTTTTTGGCTCATTTCCCTTTTAAATGCTGGTTGGAAATTCCCCAGCTGGCGTGGGATTTTCGAGTGAGACTTGCACGGTGCTGGGATGGCATGCTGCAGCTTTTTCCACGGCTTTTACTTAGGCTTGTCGATCGTCATTTGGACGATCTTCTTCATTTGGGTCTTCTTCGCCCCAGTATAGTTCATTGCCTCAATTTGGCGGAAATGTTTATTGGATTATTTTCGTGTATTTTCATATTTTGTATCAGGGAAGGCAGGAGACTCCAGTCGACAGTGGACAAGCACTGCAGTCCTCGGGGGTTTCCGAAGGTAATTGGTATTTATCGCAGAGAATTTTCGTAATTGGCCATTAATAAAAGGTCATAATTAATGGTGCTAAGATGTGCATGGAATCAGGTGGATGTCCCTTTGGGCTTAAACCTGTTTGAGGGATGCCCACCTGTTTCAAAATCCACAGGGGGGGGGGGTGTCCACCAGGCTTGGAATACATGTGAGCGAATGACCAAATGGATTTCCATCAGGTGGGACATCACCTGGTTCCAAATCCACCTCCTATCCACCTTATCGTTCAGCCAAGTGGATACAGGTGGACGTTTCGTTAGGAGGACGCTTCTCCGGTCCTCTCTGATTTGAACCGTGGAGATGGGGAAGCGGCCACACATTCCTGATTTAAATGGCTGACGTCCGTCGATGAGTTCTCGACCTCACCCAAAAACCAAGCGCGCAGAGAATTTATTTCATCGCCAGTTTTCGATGGAATTACTATTGCGCTCACGGACGATCATGCAGGATGGTTGAGGAATTCTTCAATCGCCTTCCTTCAGTTTGAAAAAATCATGAATTCTTATTCCCACGATGATTTTCTTCTCTATAACCCTTTTCACATGTCGTCCGCGTTTTCCTCGGGAGCGCGTTTCCTTACGATCAATTGGAAATTCCCCATTCACGTTCGGCAGCTATCCGCTTCTTCAGGTATTCAAAAACCCGGGGGGAATTTTTATGAATGATGTTTTAGAATGGTTTCCTGGGGGCATTTCCCAGCAAGGCCAACACGACAAGTAGGTAGAAGGTGATTTTTCTAAGTTATTTCCACAAATGCGTATGCGACATATCTCTGAATCGCAGACCAGAATGTTTTTTTTTTTTACAATTTAACATTTTCTAGAACTATTGAACGTCCCAATAATAATTTTATTGCAAATTAACTGTATTAAAATGGATTTGCAGCGCACACAAAGCAAGAAACAAGTAATTAATCATTTTCGCACTTCGACGTAGTCGACGGGAACTGGAGAAGACAATCCCTATTCTTGAAAGGGTGTCCGGTCAATTCCCCGACAGTCACTTCCCCGACAGTCAATTCCCCGACAGTCAATTCCCCGACAGTCAATTCCCCGACAGTCAATTCCCCGACAGTCAATTCCCCGACAGTCAGTTCCGATTCAGACGAAATCTGATGTCAACCCCCGTGAATCCAAATATTCATCGTTACATGTCAGTTCGTTCATGTCAGTTGCATGTCAGTTCGGGATTTTATCGATTCGTCGATGGGATGTCGATGAATTTTCATGAACTATTCAACCGACTATAGCCGGCTGCCGATGAGAGGAGAAATCCGACGAGATCCCGTTTCCTCGCGAACAAATTCCATCGCAATCGTCAGGGTTGAAAGGTTGCTTCGAGACCGTTGCACCATCAAAACCCCATCGCGAACGGTTCGTCACTGTCTCTGTGAGAAGTCGATACGAATCGCTGGGTCACGGATGTCGGAGTAACGGAGTAACGTAAAGGTCCGCGTTTTTTGTGGCGACCTGTAACCAACAGTGGGGGAGACATTTTTATCTCCAGTACCAGTACTGCAGGTGTAAGTACCCTGTCCGTGTGCTAGTCTGAGCCGTGTATATGCAGTAAGCATAAAACTGTACAGACGGTAATCGACCCCTGGAAATATAAATATAATACATTCAAATATAATGCATTACAGGGGAAATTCCATCCCCCTTACACGAACTGAATCCCTAATTCCCTCTTTCTGACCCCAGGACGAGGAAACGATGAATTAAATGCGCGAGAATTGCCATTGTCCCAAGCCCATTCCCATCCAGGATCACTTGTGCCTCGAACTGATTTATATTTAAGTTTCACTTTGATGTTTATCGAGGTTCTTTTTCAGTAATTTTTTTAAAATTAGTTTTCATTCAGGGAATGTTTCCATAAGTGTTTTGCTTAAAGGAAACTTGGAAAGGTAAAACTTGGGACAATTTCGTTCAATTGCATTCGCGATGCAAATCGTTACATATTCATTTCCTAAAATTAATTTAAATTCTTTAAATGCTCGTTTCGCAGCAAACAGTAGGGACGGGATTGGTATAGGAGCAATTCTAAATCTGGAAGGAAAAAAAAAATCCCGTTCCGTCACCTGAGAGGATGCGAGAAAAAAAAAAATCTCGTCGGCGAAACTTTTCCGTCGACTCGCGTCCGATTCGCCTCATCCAGATTTTCAGCCAGTCTACGAATCACGATCTCGTCTCATAATAATAATAATAATAATAAATAAATGAGGAAAAATAAATAAATTGGCATTCGTGAGTGCCTCCTGCGTGCCTCCTCTCGGCCGTGAGAATTACCTGCACTCTTGCTGCTTTGGTTCATGTGACAGTTGCTGAGTCATCGTGACGTGAATCGATCGTGATCGTGACAAGAGATTCAGATGGAATTCTGAACTGTGGAGTCCGAGTGGAGTGGAGATTCCGCGCAACACTGGCAACAGTGTTGCGCGGAATCCCTTGAATATGATGATCCTCGCCTGATGTGCATTTCGGGGCTCGACGTCGAACACGTGCCGTGAGGTGCCGCGAGGTGCCGTGAGGTGCCGTGAGGTGCCGTGAGGTGTGCCATGAGGTGCCGTGAGGTGCCGTGAGGTGCCGTGAGGTGTGCCATGAGGAACGTCAAACGATTTCCTCACATTCGGTTTTGAATGGATTTCCGCGGAATTTCATTTTCCATGGAATCATGCGGCCATCTGATATGAGGTTCATCGTGGCGACACAAATAACATGATTTGTTTATTTAATTTCATCGTGACATCCATTTCGTGACGGCGGCGTGAAATGGACATCGATTGTAAGAATTTAATTCGCTGCAGAATTTTTTTTTAATCGGACGAAAAGAAAAAAGAAATCGGGAACGCTTCGTCACCTTGCCACGTGTCGATATGGGATCAGAAACGTGTCGGTGTCGTTCTCGAGTTACGAAATGGAAATGCGCTGCTCGCATCCGGACGGTGACATTCATGATTCCTTCTCGGATTGATGGCATCCATTCTCGGATTGATGGCATCCCATCTCGGATTGATGGCATAATGTGGATGAAGAGGAAGGCCCAGCCGTTTCCATCTTGCCCGAAACCAATTTGTAAACAAATTTCTTTACGACCCGCATAATCGGCGAAAGTCCAAACGGGTTGGTCCGTCCGACCCTCCGCTGATCGAGTCCTGACCTTTACTTGAAGGTCAAATTTGCGTCGAAACGTGATCGCGCCTGCCGTTGAATGCCATAGGGCGATCGCGTGGCATCCGGCTGGCATCCGGCTGGCATCCGGCTGCATGAGATCCGGGAAGCGGGTAGCCGTATGGGCACCTTCTGGCTTATTAACCCGAGATCTGATGGCGAAATCAGCTGATTAAGTTTCAACTGCCTTCAATTACACCGGGCTTAGAACGACATCAGATTGATCTTGCGACGCGATTATTTTTATGTATGGAATGGGCGAATCGGGTTGGAGCGCACTCCGCGGTTCGGTTCCAGCAATTCATGAGAAAGCGAAGATGCGACCGAGTCCTGACGGCTCGAAGAGGAGGGGGAAATAGATGCAGGACGCAGATGAGGAAGTCGGTGGAGGAAATCTTCTGGGAAATCTGGAGGGCTGGGACAGGTTCCGGGGAAGGGGTCGCTGGGTGGATGTTCGGGGAATCCCTCGTTTCCCTTCGAAATGCCGGGGGTATGTATTCTCCGGCGGGCGTGGATGGCTTAGCTAGTGCTGCGATGGATTCGGGCATGGGGGTCTCTGCTGTCGCCGCTTTGCTTCTGGTCTGCGGCCGCGTCCAGGTTCGTTCATTGCCGAGATTCCGTGGAAATTGCATCAATTAAATGTATTATTTTAAATTTTTATTTTTAAATTTTAAATTATTTGCATTTTCGTATTTCGTATCAGGGCGTGCAGGAGACTCGAGTCGACGATCGGCAAGCATTTCAGTCCTCGGGGGCTTCCCAAGGTAATTGGTGTTTACCACAGTGGTTTACTTTACCATTACGAAACATCCATCCAGGAGGATTTCCTTTTGAGCATAAATCCACCTGTTGGAGGGATGTCCTTTCCACCTGGTCCCAAATCCACCTCCTATCCACCTCATCGTTCGGCCAAGTGGATGCAGGTGGACGTTTCGTGGACTTTGAAAGATTTTAAATTGCAGATTTTCGATCGCCGCCTCCGTGCGGCGCGACCCGGGCCCTCTCGACGGGGCGGGGCTCCCCGCTGCTCAGTCCCAACTTTCCGGGCAATTTCACGTCCCAGTTCGATTGCACCTGGGAGTTCAGTGTGAGTTCTACGCTCCGGTTTTTAGTGCTTTTTATGCTGGTTAGGGCTTAAAAAAAAAAATTATGCTGGGTTAACCTTATTTATTTCTCTCTTATTCTTCTCATTTATTTATTTCTCAATTATCATATACATCTTTCATCTGAAACATCTGTCCCTAACTGAATAAAAATTAAAAAAGAGGGACGAATCTGAGGATCGCATTCACGGGATATGTACGGAAATCTAGGAAAACTTCAAGTTTGGGAGGGGGGGAGGGGGAAGGCAGATGCGCTTTGACATTCAATTGGAAGATGCCTTTTCGCACCCTTAAAAAAATGCCTCATAAGATTAATCCTATAGGAATCCAATAGGAACATAAAGGAATCCTATCGGTTCCTATAGGCCACGAAAGTGCCATCCCCTTACCCTTGGAATCATCTCTCACAAGAGAGTTTTGTCGATCCCCAAATGTCTCGCCTTGCCTCATTGTTGCAATCAATGAACTTCGACACTTCCTTATTTGTCAACTCCATCTTCCAGATAGAATCATGGAGTCCAGGCCAGAGATATGCCCATATTCCCTTTGAAAACCTCTTACGAGTAAAGACCGACTACATCATCAGCTTCAGTTCACTCTCAGGCTCTAGCTTGTCCTCACCGTGCTTTATTTTTGGGCAGGTCAATCCCTCACCCCATCTGTTGGGGTTCTTCGTCCTGGCAGCCAGCAAATTGTCATTGTTAAGACACATCCCTCTCTCTTATACTGCACCTGATTCATTAATTACCTCTTAAGGACCTTTGTCTCTAATGCTTTACTCTCCTCTCCTGCATTCTCTCCAATATCCTCCTGCTTCTGCACTCCAGCCCCAATATTAACCTCTCCCCTTTTTTTTCGTACGGCACCATGCCGGCGAAAAAGAGGACCCAGAAGAAGACCTCTCCCCCACCTCCTTCCGTTATCTCCAACCCCTCACCTCGCTCCATGCGGCAGGCTTCTCCTGCCCCCCCTCCTCCTCCTCCTCCTGCCCCTCCTCCTCCTCCTCCTGCCCCCTCCTCCTCCTCCTCCTCCTCCTCCTCACACACCTCCGCTGCCCCCGCCCCCTCGCGAACTTCTTCCCCCCTTCGCCAACCAACTGCCAGCCCCTCACGCTCCCCTCCACATCCATCCTCTCATACAGCCAATAACGCAGCCTATCTTTCACCTGCCCACTCCAAAACACCCCCCACGATCCCAGGCAACTCCTCCGTGCACTCGATTCCCATACCCACTAACTCAACCAACCCTGCTCAAGGAAATCCCAATTCCTTCGCGAACCCATTATTCATTCAATCCCTTCCGCCTTCAGCAAAAACTCGCTTTTGCTCGCGCCTTCTCGTGCGCGTTTCCCAACTGCCCCCTGCTTGACCTCAAGCAAACCCTTGGACGTCGCCCGTGTAGCGAGCCCCCTCCCCCCTCCTACTAGTTAAAGCGGTTGACTGCCAGAACGCGCGCATCATACTCGAGGAAGACGAGTTTAGAATCGGCTGCCTCCGCCTCCGCGTAGAAGAATTCGTGATTCAGCCACGAATCATTCGATGCTTTAAATGCCTTCAGTACGGCCGCTATATAGGACGATGCAAGGCCGACCGCGACGTGTGCTCGTACCGCTCAGGAAAGGGCCATACCCAGAAAACCCGCCAGGCAAAGCTGAACGTCTTGCATCCTAAATGCAGCCAGTGCCAAGGAGCACACGCAGCAAACGCGGCCGCTTGCCCCAAACGGCAAGAAAAACGACTGCAGATTGCCCACGACCCCAGGTTCGCTCATTCGCCCCTTGCCAGGAAGATCCTGGCCGAGCAGAAAGGGTATCCAGACCCTGAGGCTCCCATTAGGACGGCTACGCCCCCAGCTAGGCCGCACATCAGACTCGTCCCCGCTCGCGCCGCGCCTCCCTCGCGTCCGCCCTCGGCCCCCGCGCCCCCTACCCCCGCATCCGCGGACGTCTCAGCGTCCCCGTTCCCCGCGATCTCTCCCTCTCCCGAGATTAACTCAGTCATCCGGCTGCTCCTAAAGCAGATGGAAGGCATCATCTCCACCCTCCACTGTTTCCTTCGGCCACACCCCCACCGTCCTTTCCTCTCCTGCTTAACAATGTCCTCTCATACAGTTACTCTACTTCACCTCAACTGTAACGGCTTCCGAGGCAAGCGCCCTGAAATCCTGCAATACATAGAGCAAACTAATCCCACCATTATCTGCCTCAGCGAACTTAAGTGTATAAAGCCACCTCTAATTAGGAATTACTATTGTCACAAACCTTCCTTTCAGAAAAGGCCGTACTGTGGGGGTTCAGCAGTTTACATTCTCAGTAACCTGGACTCAGAATTAATTAGCCGCTCCTGGCAAACTGACTCGGAGATAATTGGAGTTAAAATTCGTTTTTCCCTAACAACTCTCTCTGTCTTCCATGCTTATTTTCCTCCTAATTTCCCTCCTTCCCCTTCCGATCTTGACTTCATCAACCAAATTAACGGCCCTTCGCTTCTCCTAGGCGATCTAAACGCCAACACTCTCTGATCTCTCTTTCTGCTCGGAAGCCAATGCAACTGGTAACATACCCAGCAACTTCATAGCCTCCAGTAGTTTCTCAATTTTAAATGACGACAGCCCCACCCACCACTGTCCAGGACTAGGAAATTCGTACAGGATTGACCTAGCACTGGGCAATGCACAGTTCCTCCCTTTTTCCATAACTTCTCCAAAGGAGAAGACTTAGGGAGCGATTATGTGCCAATCCTCATTAACTGTAACTCCTCCTTCAACCAGCCTCCCTCGCTTTGATTTTCGTAGCGCTGACTGGCGTAGTTTCCAGGACGTGTTAGAGACCCTCCTTCCTCATTCTCTCCCTTTTGAGACCTTCCCCCAACTGGAGGAAGCAGTCACTCTCATCACTGAAGCGATTCAAATCGCCCAGGATATTGCCGTCCCCAAGACTACTCTCTCCCATAAGCTTTACAATCACTCTGTAGAAACCCTCAATACAATTAAGGAGCGGAGGAAACTCCGTCGTTTATTTTATTGCAATAAAGACCCCACCCTGAAGCCTTTAATCAATAAGCTTAATCATGAGATTAAAGTCCTGATTAAGATCGGGAGCGATCAGTACTGGTGTGATTTTTGCGAGCAATTAAATAGCGAAGAGGATCCAGCTAATTTTTGGAAGTTATTTAAAAGGGTTGGCAACCCTAGAAACAGCAATANGTGTGATTTTTGCGAGCAATTAAATAGCGAAGAGGATCCAGCTAATTTTTGGAAGTTATTTAAAAGGGTTGGCAACCCTAGAAACAGCAATAGTAGACCCCTAAATTCGACGGCGGGACTCACTGTAATGATGAGAGCAAAGCCTCCGTTTTTTGCAGCTACTCTGCTGGAAGCTATGACTGAACCCCCCAGCTCCCTGGGGCATCGCCCCCCAGAGGTATGCTTCGATTTCGAAAAGAAAATCTGTAACTTCTCTCTCAGACCTCTCCTGCCCTGTAAGATACTGTGAGATACTCAGATACTGCCCTGTGGCTCTCCACAGAGATGTCACTGCTCTGGAGTCGCGAGCCCAAGCGGCGCTTAACGCTCTCTCTTACAACTGTCGCAACTGGCGTATAAGTATGATTCCCTCCAAGTCCTCCTTCCTCTTGTTTGCACCCGACAGGAAGGACATGGAACTAAACGACGAGACCATTTGCGGAGGGAATTGTCAATCTTCTTTTCAGCCTCAGGCCAATTTCCAGATTCGAAGGAATTATTACCAATGCCTCATCGATCCTCAAATGGCGTGGCAAGTCCTTCTCAAAGAAATAACCTGAAGCAACATCATCTCATGCCACCTCTCGCACAGGAACTTCTCTTCTGGACCGCGACACAGCCTTCCCAGCAAATATGAGCCTCACATAATTTTGAAGTTATATGTAACGTACCTCCGCCCGATCTTAACAAATTTGGTTAACTTAATTTGGTTTGAGGACTCGTTCCCCTTTCCCATCTCCAGTTAACAATTGGCCATCGATGATGCTGATCATCATGCGACGGACGATCCGTTCCGTTGCATAGCTATTTTTTGTGCTGAGGTTGCGAAGGGGCATGGTGACGGCACCATATTTGAGTTTTAACTCATGAGGTGGCATTTCAGATGGGATCAAGCTATCGAGAAATTCCGCAGGGTAATTGTTTTACCTCCCAAGATGATCACACACGATCGAGTCAATAATGATGTAGATCTTGGATTCCTCCGCAATTAGTGTTAAAACTTCTTCGTTCAATTTAAGTGCCTCTTCAATCTTGGGGCAAATGACTACCTTATTTTTTGTTGATTCAAAGTGTTCAAGAATAATGTTTGCATAGTCATTGTCAATTATGTTATCATTAACCACGCATTCCTTAGGTAGCGCAAAGGCGTTAATCAGAGATCTCTTTAAATTTCGGGAGGCTGCCTTCTCCGACAGACAAAAGCAATTATGAGAACTCCTGCTCCCGTTCCTTTCTCATGTTTATTAACCATTTAGGATCTTGAGTACTGGCCAAAGAGAGCTACATTTCAGGCAAGCACCAATGATGGTGCACTCATTGCCGTGGCCAACGACGGGAATAACTATTCTGAAGTCCCAACCAAGAACTTGAACTTCTCTTGGAGCAATTCATTGGGATCTATGGTAACGGAAAAGGTTGAATGTGTGTTCGTCCACGGCAAACGTAAATTAAAAACCTAAGCAACTGATAGAAAACAAGTCAGATATGGAATATCTTCACGGTTTTTTTTAAACCCTGCCGCAAGAATACCCGCAAAGTTTCACAGCTTGCTAAGGGGGCTTTTCCTCTCGTGCCATTGGATGGATTATGTATGTGAAACTCACATTTTTGTCGGACAGAATTATTATGAAATTTTCTCAAAACGGAACTGAGGTTCGATTTCTCAGACACTGTCTCAGGTGCGAGCCAAAGTTTTATATATTGCTGGGATTTCATTGAATGCCTCGAATCACAATTGTGTGAACACTTGTTATATGATTAAATCCTTGGTTGGGTTCAGTAGCTGAAACTAACTCAACAAATTTCCAGTGCCCGGAAACACAGGTCTCAGTCCAGAATGCAGAAATTTCTTCCCAAATAGTCCTGTTTCTGTCAGGAATTGATCTTCCCATTTTTGAGCTATCCTGGATTATTTCCCTTGCGTTGGAAGGAGCAAAAAATGGTCTTAACACAGGAAATAGTTCAAAATACCCCCATACTCCTATTCTGGAAGAAATCCCCTCCTCATTTGACCCGCAACCGCATCCCTCCCCCCTCCAGCCTCATCGATCCTCAAATGGCGTGGCAAGTCCTTCTCAAAGAAATAACCTGAAGCAACATCATCTCATGCCACCTCTCGCACAGGAACTTCTCTTCTGGACCGCGACACAGCCTTCCCAGCAAATAGTCGGGCACCCCTGCCAAAAGTAAGTGCAGCAGTTGGTTGGTAGAATCCACATATTTTCGCAAACAAATTGTCTCAGTTGCTTAGGTTTCTGGAAAGTGGCTGCCTCTGGCACACTTTGATCGCATTCCGCATCGTCAGCCAGAATATATAGTCGCTGCGCCGCCTCTTTGAACGTCAGGCAGGCCTCTCTTTCACTTGTTTTCAAATGGTTAAACCTGGCGCCTCCAGTCACGTGAAGGAGCAATAGTCTCAAATGGAATCGCTCAAAGCCTGCTGGGCAGACCGAGGACATCCTTCCAAACACGTTCCGTCCTCCTCTCTGCCTCTACTTCCATTTCTTTGCTGACTTGTCGCAGACAATAGTTCAGGTAGATCTGCATAATAGATGTCTCTCGATTACTGGTCCTCCCTACACAGTTTGAGCAAGGCCATTGCGAATTGAAGGTAGGGAGGTTGGATGGACGAGAGAGGACGAAAGAGAGTCAGGGGACTACCGGTCAGGTGCGCTAACATTACCGTATACTACCAAACCCGGGACATCCAGTCATGCCTCTCAACAGTGCCGTCATCACACCATCAAGATCGGCTATGCGTGGGCTACGCTTTCAACTGTCATTTGCTCTTCCCCCTCTCGAAAGTAGACGGGTTGTTGCATGGGAACAAGCATTCCTAGGGAAATGATGGCATTCTTTTCCAGGAGTATCCGCACTGCTTCAGGTGCTCTGACATAAACGTACTGTTCTAATCCCATACCATTTGCCTGGATGGCTCATTCACGTCTCTCGATTTAAACTGGCGACTTGAATTCAATGCTGGCGCAGTCGTGCCCCTTGTACACATTTTTGAAAAAATACGTCATTCACTCAATGTAAGAACATTTATCCATGTTGATGTGCGCGTTGTAGTTGAGGAGAAACCAGGGGTTGTACGGAACTACCTATTTGATGTCCAGCTCTTGTTAACTGACTCAGACTACTCTCCCATTGTCCCACCTGCGGTAGCGAGGGTTATCGTCACTGTAATATGTTGTCTCCGGAAAGCAATTTTTGGAAATCGTTCTTGCAGGTTCCATTCTCGTGTCAAATGGCATTGGTGCAAAGAGTTTCGGACGGACCGTGGAACATGTTTTTTTTTCTTCTATTTCATGGAGCTTCAAAGGGTTTCCTTTCCCGATGATGGTTCTCCTTTCTCCTTCTTCGTTTAGAGATTTGGAAAATGGAAGTACTCTATGGAGGTATTCACCCTAGGGTCTTAATTTTGCAACAAATTCCTTTTATTTGGCATTATAACGTAAATATAGCGGAATTTACAGATGTCCAAAACTTCAAAGAAGTCATGGAGACCTGTATCGCTCGAACACGGTCAGCCCGTGCAGCATGTGCGCTCTTATGCATTGTGCTATTTGGTTAACACAGCTAAAAATGACTTCCTTATTGTGAAATTCATGCAATAGCACCCAATATTGGACGTGAGCTAAAAAATTGCTTTAGGTCGAAGTTGAGAGAGAGAAAGGGAGAGGAGAGAAATGGGCAAGCAGGCATTTCTGTACATTTTACTGTAAAGTTCACCATTCTTCATTCCCACGCCACTCAGCTTCTATGGGACGCATTGTTTTTAACATCGCGACCTAAAAACATTGGGTTCTCTCCGGCGGGCATCACGTACGTGATGCAGGACCCGCGCAAATAGATGTCGTTCGCCCGCTTTACCCCATTGTAACTTCGGAGAGAGAAAACCCAAGTTCGGATTTCACCACTGGGATTATACAGGGTGGAGAGAGGGTCCTGAGGTGTTACATACCCGTCTATCTTGGAAACGGGGTGACGTAGAAATATTCGACACGATACGATATTAGATACATAGATTAGATAGATAGAAACGTTATTTCGTAAATTTGTATGAAACACCAAATCACCCACCCGCATTATCACATGTGACCCCTAGCTTCCAAATATGTTTCCTTCGCAGTTTGGAATAAATAGTGTCCCATCCTTGACTTCGAGACGGAGTTATTCACGATTTGTGCAATCAATGTTCTTTTCCTTGCTATGTTACAGAAAATGTATGGCAATTTAATCATCATATATATTCGGCGGTAATGGGTTTTGTAAAGTCCTACTCACTACTGGTATTCTATGGAATCGAGTCTCCTTGTGTCGCACTCACCTGCAGGGAGTCCCAGATGTCAAAACCATCTTCACGGTGGCACGCAGCTGGTGACGTCACTTCTTGAAGTCGCTTGCAAAACTCGCACATATGAATACCCTGTTGGAATAAAGAACCGACGCACAAGCTGAGTTTTCGAGAATTTCTCTTAGTACTACACTTAGTACTGGGTCCTCTCCGGCCTTAGAAATAGAAAGCATTCCTGCTTTTCTTCCAGTCCTGGGAAATGTTCTTATGCGTTCCATACGCGTTTCCAGGAGCAGTGGGAGGGGTCTCATTGCTTAAGTTGAGACTTCAAGTTCAAAGACCCATAGTTTTAGGTAGGAATAGAGTTTGCAGTTGAGAAATGCATAGCCTGCATTTCTAGTTCAGGTTCGGGGTGTAAAAGGCAATAAAAGCATAGCTTTATCGTCCCCGCACGCTCCCAGCGAATAAGGAGGATGTCAGCATGAAATGCGTCGGAACTTTCATTTTTTATGGATGTCCGTTTTTCAGAGGCACTCAAACTTTGGTAGAGACATGAAGACAAGGAGAGGTTAGAAAGTTCAATGGCTGACTCTAGTGTACAAAGAAATGCAGAAATAAGTCTGACTGCAAGGATGTAGAGATCCTGAGATGCATAGGACCTTACAGAAAAAGTCAGAAGACAAAACCCCCAGACGACATGTACTTCTGCCCCACGTGGTAAACTGGCGCTTTGTGCCAAGCAGTAGACGTGGTGATACACAAAGGATATCATAACATTGGCAAGTGGTAAATGAAGAGTAAATATCACGCAATGGATATTCTTCTTAGCACGTCAAAGCTTCCTCCAGTCAATGGAGCCAACTCTAGACTGCTCGTTACATGGGGTTAGGAGGGGTGATCAAAAAGTTATCATCCTAACTTACAAGAACCTCAACGATCTGATTAAATTTGAGCGATATTTAAATAAGAATATTTATTAGTATAGTGCCTATTTCATGCAGACTGCGAACTTCTTTATTTCGCTGAATCTTTTGGAAAGAGTGTATATTGTAACATGGTAACATTTACAAAAATAAAAAACTGAAGTTTTTGAATTAATGAAACGAAACGAAATAAAGGTTTGTCCCTCAAAGAAAATCATGACGATATGCTGAAGAAGTGCGTGGTACCCGATTTTATAATTATAAAAATAAAAAACGAAACATTTCGCGTGAAGGATTACGACCATTTGGATAACTCGCTCATAGGAACGAACCTTTCTGAGAGTTTTATGTATTTCCTGAAAGTGCCGGAAACATCTTACATTTTCCTTTCCACATTTTTGGGAAAGTCTCTATCGGCCTGGCCCCCATCCCCACCCTCATTTCATGGATCCGCAATAATGAAAAATTGTGACTGGAAATTTCCATAAGCCAGAAGTGGCTTTTACGAGGATTGAGAAGTAAACTCCTACGTAGAAGATGAGGTGTAAAGATTGGTTGCATATGTGGAAACGTGATACAGGGTTGCACACAAAAATATTTCACATTTCATTAACCTGTATTTTCATTATTTATTACAATAGATAAATTTAATTACTTGTCATCTGTCAGCCAAACTCAAATGAATTTTCAAACTTTGAAAGACATGCTCTAAGTGTTCACCGTTCTTTTAGATAATCTGTCTGCAACGTACAGCAGTGATTTAAGTAGCCTTGTTAACGAGTTTCTTGCGTTTTGCCTCTGAGCGCTGTAACCACAGAACGTTTGTGTGCATCAATGATGTGTGGATATGTGGAGGACGCCTTTTCTTAAAGGAAACACCATTATAAAAAAAAACTGGCGGTATAAGATTAGATGTTGCTGGCCACGAGATGTCCCGTTCATAATCATAACGCGTTCTGCTCAAACTTATCAACGATCTCCTTCATCATTGGATTTTATGGAGGTGTTTTATCAAGAAGAAAACAGAGTTAAGGGTGTTCATCGTGCATACATTAATTGAAATACCTTCATCAGCTACTGTGAAGAGAGAATGTAGACGGCGGCTTCCTGATGAAACATCAAATCCAACGATTGAGAATATGGCCGATAAGTTTTGAAGAGGAAGCGTTATCAATATAATAGGGGGCATCTCGTGGCCAGATTTTTTTAAAAATGGGCTTCCTTAAACAAAATGCGTTTTCCACAAATGCACAAAACATTAATGAAGTTAAAAGTTCTTTCGTAACAAGGTTCGGAGGCATAACACAAAAGACACTCAGCAAAGGTATTGAAAACACTGCTGTACGTTATAGACAGATTATCCATAGGAACGGTAAACACTTCAAACGACTCTCCCAACATTAATACTTCTGGAGTTTGTCTATCGCATGACATGCCATTTAATTTTCTACCTTAATAGATAATGAAAATATAGGATAATGAAATGTGAAACATATTAGCGCGCCACCCTGAATAATAAGCCTGGCTTTCTGATGAAGCTGAAAGCAAGTTCGCTTGCAAAATGAAATTGTTCCTATAATCTACAGAGCTGGGCTTTCCATCTTCACAATGGAGATGAGGAAAGTTGCCATATTCGCCTAAAATTTTGCAATAATGAATGTCCATCTTAACGAAAGTAGCTAAATACATGTAACAAGTGTAAAAACTGCTGGCAGTGCACAAGAGATGCATTTCAGAAGAAGCTACTAAAACATACAAATATATAGTTTTCAAATGAAATAGAAAAGCACGGATAAAGGAACTGAAAAATAGCAATAATTATTTATAAGAACTAGAGGTGCAACAAATGCAAGGATTGCTTAATTAAAT